GCGAACCGGCAGCAGTGCTAACCAACTGCGCCACCTTGCAGCCCATAAAGATGTTTTTAATGTTTAATGTAAATATTTTAGGAACATTATAGACTGTATATAAAGCTATTTTCTGTAAAGATGTTTTAATTTAGACTGTCTATAAAGATGTAAATGTTTTAGGGACATTGTAGACTGTATATAAAGATGTTTTATTTCAGACTGTATATCTAGGTATAAATGTTTTAGGGACATGTGGCGCCATCTAGCGGTCGGTGGCTGACGCTGCATGAACGGAAATATCGTTACAGTAAGTTCCTCCGGAGCTTCCTGCCTCTTAATCCACTTGTTGATCGGAGGAGGAGGCGACGAGACGGTTAGCGACTTAAACCTTCACCACAGCTCAAACAATGTCGGACACAGACGGGTAAACGGCGCCAGAACGCAGCAGCAACAGCGGGCGGCAGGGCACCATGTTCGGTCTGAGGGAAGCCGGAGTCCTCGGAGCCTCGGCGGCTCTGGCGGGAGGAGTCGCCTATCTGATCTGGAACTACGCGTCCTCCTCCGGCCACAAGAAGCCCGAGACACGGCCGGGAGAGGACGTGAAAAGTGGCGGAGAGGGGAAGACGGAGGAGAGGAGGGAGGAGGCTGAACAAACTATATCCGCAGCCGAAGCTCCCAAAACATCGCAGGTACATGAAGCTGCTGTTTTGACGGAGCTCCACCTGAAACACGCCTCTGTTCACCGCCAGATGTGAAGGAGATCAGAAATAAGGTTAAACACGAGGAGTTAGAGAGGACAGTTACAGGGTCAAACTGAGGAAGAACACGATCTGTTTACACCCATTTACTTCTTGTGTTGTATGCTCGCCTTCACCCAACAACAGACTTCATACTGACCAAACAGTGTCTTAAATCCCTTACAGCCCGTTTAGACGCGTTCTCTGGGGTCACCGCGAGGCATTCTGGGAAATGTAGGTCATTAGATTAACTGAAGGCCAGTTCATACCACTTTGTCCTTAAGTAGTGAACTTCCTTTTTTAAAAATACCCTAGTATCTATTTTTGTGTTTTGATGACATTTGAGGATGTTAGTCTGTCGGAAACTATAACTAGTATTAGTGTTTTAATTGTATTTTTTTAAAATAGAAAGAACATTATTCCATTCATATGTTTTATAATATTTTAACATGCCATGTGCAAACACCAAGTGCAACAAATCCCCAATTTCAAACACCAAGAAACAGCCAATATTAGACGTTTTGGCTTAGAAATAACCAAAATTCTAAACTTTATTTATGTGGCACCTTTTAAAACAATCCTACAAGAGAAAATAAACCAACTCACCCAAACATTTTATTGTGAAAAATGAGCTTGTCATTGCTTTATTTTTATTTATTCAGTTATTTTTACAGAGTTCTGGCATTTGATTGATCGAGCCAACAAATAAAGACAGATAAAGAAAAATAAAAATAACATTATTTCATTCATTTGTTTTACAATATTTCAGTTTAAGGTTGACAACAGGTTAGGGTGGTGCAATATGCAAACACCAAGTGCAACAAATCCCCATTTTCGAACAGCTAGAAACAGCCAATATTGGACATTTTTGCTTAAAAATAACCAAAATTACACACTTTATTTATGTGGCACCTTTTCAAACTATCCTACAAGGGAAAATAAAGCAACTCACCCAAACATTTTATTGTGAAAAACAAGCTTGTCATTGCTTTCCAATGGACCAATAACAACTAGAAGACGCTGTTTCTACCGTATTTCCAAACTGCCATTTCTTTTTAATTATCGTCCACCACTGGCAAAATATCTGCAATTAAATATCATCTAATTGGCTTTCTTTATATTGAGATTAAACAAGTGAATTTATTGCTAAGTAGCCAAAAAAGTTTTACACATATATTTATATTCCTTTAAGTAATGAAAGCAGCCTTTTCATATCAGTGTGAGTGCTCAGCCCTAATCTGCTCTGTGTTCCAGACCTGTCCCGTGGAGACTCAGGGGACCCAGGTTCTGGTTCTGGGTCTGGATGGATCCGGGAAGACCAGCCTGCTGCACTGTTTCTCGTCCGGCAGCCCGGAGCAGGACATGGAGCCGACGCAGGGCTTCAACGCCGTCTCCATCAGCAGAGACGACCTGCACATCGAGTTCCTAGAGAGTAAGTCTGAACTCAGCATCGCACTTTATAAACCAGGGAGTTCTGAGCTCAGTTCCCTTATAAATAAAAGGTGTCAAAGAGAATTTTCTTCTTGCTTACCGTGACCTTTTTTGGCATTAATTTGATTGATTATGCAAGAATCAAAGTAGCTGCTAAAACTGATGTCGCCTCCATCACTTCAGTGGCCTCTCACTAGTAACACTGAGTATAACACCGTAGTATTTGGATCTCATTGTCTGGTAAAGAGATCCAGATCCAGTGAAAGCAGCTCAAATTTTTGACTCTTTTTCAGTTCATTTAATTTGATCTTTTAACCCCATTCTGCAAGATTTTACCTTCTCAAGTGAATGTCACAGAACCAGAGTTAAACACTTCCAGTGAAAAAAATAAATAAATGAATTCACCGTACTACCAGCGTATATTCAACAGATTTTCATGTTCAGTGGTGTGTCAATGTTTTGGTTGGTGAAGGACGATACCTTTTAATGGCCTTTAAAGCCCACATGGTTGTGATAAAAACAGAAGGGGACGGTGGTTAGAGGATACTTTACTTGATTCAAAATCAACAGCAGCACTTACACTCAGCTAATTCCACATATTTGCAGCTTATGAGATGCTGATCATTTTGAATTCAACATGTATGATACAGACGTTTGAGCGATTTGTTTTACATGTGAAAAAACTGTGGATGCTGGCTGCCAAATGGCTAAATCCATCCATCCATCATCTCTACACCTTAATCCTCACCAGGGTCATGGGGGGCTGGAGTCTATCCCAGGCGACTTAGGGCGAAGGCAGGGGACACCCTGGACAGGTCACCAGTCTATCACAGGGCTACACTTAGAGACAGACAACCAAGCACACTCACATTCACACCTACAGACAATTTAGAATCACCAATTAACCTCAACATGTTTTTGGACTTTGTGGGAGGAAGCCGGAGAACCCGGAGAGAACCCACGCTGCACGGGGAGAACATGCAAACTCCATGCGGACCTTCTTGCTGCGAGGCAACAGTGCTAACCAACCTCGCCACCTTGCAGCAAATGGCTAAATGAAAGAGTGAATATTGCTGCCAACTTCACACTAGATTCTTAGCTACTTTCCATAGAAGGGAGTTGACGTATCGAATCGCGAGTTCATGGTCTTTCTTTACCGCCTCCTACTCTGTTTGGTGAGTTGCAGCGAGAAGCAGCACAACACGCAGCTGATGTACAGTCGTCCTCAAATGTATTCACACCCTTCCATTAAAGAAAAGGCAAAATTCACAATAGTCACTCAAATAAATAGAAACTGAAAAAAGTAATAATTAATAAAAATTTGCTAAATTATAATTTATTGAAATAAGACATTGTTTTTGAATTGTGGTTGAAAAGAATAATTTTATAAAACAAACTAAACTGTCCTGGACACTTTAGAGCCCTTTGCTGATTAGCAGTGGGCCAAAATCTAAATAGCTGTGGGCAGGTGCAGAAGTCTGATTGAGAGTTACAGAAAACACTTGATGGCAGTGATTGGCTCAAAGAGTTGTTCAACTAAATACTAGTTTATGGGTCTCATTATGTTTATTTTGTTTTTTGTTTTTTGTGTTAATATTTCTGTTGAACCACAATTCAAAAGCAATGCCATGATTTTCGTAAGATTTTTATTTCTTATTAGTTTTGTCAATTTCACCTTATTTCAGTGACAGCTGTTTTTTTTTCCTTCTTTAATGGGAGGGTATGAATACATTTGAGGACGACTGCACATGTGACTGAGCTGTGATTGTACAAACAGACTCAGGCTGTGCGAGAGACAAAATAAGAAAGATATTCTGTCACTGCTGACTCTCCCTGAGGGATCATTTTACTTGTAAGTAAAGCTAAATTTGAAAGAACAGCCTTTAACTTGTTATTGCATTTTGTACATATGGTGATTTTGCAAATACTAGATATATTATGATTATATTATATCTATGCTATTACGTATTGGCTGTGATAAAACACTGTATACGTGAACACAGAGAGAAGCAAACAGATTTGAACTCGGAATGCAAATGTTATGAATATGATAATTATCACACATCGTCATCTAGCGACGCTTCTAAAACAGACCTTAGCTACTTTCCATCGTGTAATGTCTGCAGCACTGCAAGCAAATAATTCCTCCTGCCAACAATAAATTAACTTTGAGCTCTCAGTTGCAACGCGTGTTAACTTTGGGGGCTGCTATAATTTTAAATGAAGCACATTTTAGCATTATATTATGAACAATTATCTAAAAAATCAAACTAGCACCAGGTTGAGAAACATATATGTTATGGTGAGTAAATTACTCAAGAATTAGTGAAAAATAATTGTGATTTTTGGTGTAATTTGTGAGAGACAGTCCAAAAGCAAGTTATTTTTTCTTATTACAAATTTGAATTTATCTACATATAATATTGCTATGTTCAACTGGATATCTGATTTAATAACAAACATATTTCAGTCTTCCACACTGAATGGCGTGAAAACAGGCATTAAGTGACCTTCTGTGTTTCATTAAAAACCCTGTCAACTGCTGAGATGCTGATTTTGAGCCGTGACTTGTTTCAGTCGGAGGTAAGGAGGATCTGCGGCCGTACTGGCAGAGGTACATGCCCAAAGCTCTGCTGCTGGTGTTCGTGGTCGACTCGTCCAACCCGCAGCTCTTTCCGGTCGCCAAGAAACATTTACACGAGCTGCTGGCCTCCCACCCCCGCCTGCCTTTAATGCTGCTGGCCAACAAACAGGTGAGCTTGACAGAAAGACACTCCAGACTAAAGTGTTTATAATTAGACACTGAATGCAGCTTCAGTGTGGATTTTGAAATTTAGTACAAAAAAAAAAAAAGCCGCATGATTCAATCAGCTGTAATGATTGGAATGAACAACAATTAAACTGGCTTGTATTGTTAGTGTGCCTAATGCTGTTCTTTCATCTAAGAAGTTGAACATCTTAACGTGACCAGAGAAACAAAGAAGAATGCCAAATGAGTGATTTGAATCAACATATAAAAATAGTGCCTTTAGTGACATTTTTATGTTTTTTTTTATTTATTTTTATGTTTTTTTTTATTTGTAATTTATGTATTTAAACCTTTATGATTTACTTGTTTCATCTTTATTTGAAGGTCAGGTTTAGTTTTTCTCTTGTGATTTTTAAGAAAGAGTTCCTGAGTTGTCATACAACTCTGTTTATTCGTACCTTTTGACAAGCAGATCCCAGCATATGGTTCCTTGTACACTGTTTAATTCATGCAAGAAAAGATCTAGCTGGTTTGACCACCAATGTTGGTATTATATATAATGTATTTTTATGGGCGTTTTGAAGTACCACATAAGAAAGAGTTCATGGAAAGCCTCCCCATTGTGCAGGTTTTTATGCTGGCTTAAGGTGGGTTCTCACTTTTTCAGAACAGAGTTCATGGACATAATGGAGGTGAAAATGTCTGTATTGAATAACTTCTGATGTTGCAAACTTTTCACTCACACGACTGATCAGCTGTTTCTTTCTTGGTCTTCGTCTACAACTTTCCTGCTTGATGTCGTCTCCGTTTTTCTCTCATTTATGGACAAAATTTAGTTTATTTCTTTTCTTCTTCTTGTTTTAGGAGTTGGCAAACAGCTGGTCTTCTTCTGCTCTGTTGATTACATCCACGTAGCCTCTACTGCCACCTTCTAACCACACTATGCTGCAACATGCAAAACGTTTGCTTAAAATTCGCTTGACATTCATTTAGAAACACAGCAAAGGAGCTGCCTGTATAATCAAAACTTTTATTGACTGACTTTGTCCATCATCAGGTTTAAATCCTGCTAAGCATTATATTTGCTGAAATCTGAGAGAGCATCTCTAAACACTAAATGCTTAATTATAATATGAGTCATAGATTTGATGCTGCCATTGTATCCAAATACTAGACTTCACCATTTTTAGTTCCCTTTCCTTTATTTCATCTGTTTGTTTTTTGTGTGTCTGAAAGTGACAAAATGTCCACGTATGCAAACAGCTTAGAATAAAATCTGTTCTATTTGGCCTGTGATCACCAAAAATAAGTAATAAAAATATTGTTGAGCAATGATTTTGGAGTCAACAACAAATGACTGAACAGCTCTTACTACGACTGCATTTGTTCCAGTGCAGTTTTCACATCATTTCTATCTGGACATTCCAAAAAGACAAACCCTATCTAAGTCCACCGGCTGGATTCTTATATGAAGTGGGAGAATATCATATTTCCACTCTGACGTCTCCTCCTGTTTGTCTTCTGTTTCCAGGATCTTCCCGGTTCCTGCGGCATCACTGACCTCCACGACGCCCTGTCTCTGTCTGAGGTCGGGGACCGCCGCTTGTTCCTCATCGGTACCCACGTGAAGAAGGGCGAGGCGGGGCTGAGCTCAGGCGTTCAGGACGCCTGGGACCTGATCATCCAGATGGTTTGTGACGGCAGATAAAGCTCACAGCTGGTGGTCGTCGCTCAGTCCTGTGTTTCTGATCAAATCTGATGCACTTTTGTTCTCTTTACTGTTTTCACTACTCCGGGTTGGCTCCTTTATTTATTTGTGTTTTGGTGTGTTACTGTTGGGATTAAAGGAGCTCGAGATCTTACTGTTTGTTTCCGTTTCTTCGGTTAAACTGGGGGACGATTCTAAAAGCTTTTTCTCAAAAAAAATAAAAATAAATAAGTCTGCGTTTGTCTCGGCAGGTGATGGATAGAGCCATAAATATTACACTTAACAAGACTGTTCTCGTCATGTGTTATTTAGCGCTGCATTTTTTTAGACTGATCACAAGGTTTTTCATGTGTCATAATCAACAGAATGTGTAACACCTTGACATATTAGACTTCAAGCTGTGTTGGGTAGAGACAAGAGAAATCAATCCGTCATATCGGCTTAGAGCAGCGATGCTTCTCTTTCTACAGACTTACATTTCAAAGAAACACACAAACCTTAAGTAGCATCTGTTACATTAAATGTTCATTTTTCAGTCAGTAGCATCTTTCTGCCATTTGGGGCCACCAGTGTGCAAAGTTTCCAATCAGACTCCTTGTTACCAAATCTGAAGACGATTGGATTACAGCTTTAAAAACACACACTTCTATGTATTCTATGTATTCGATGTGTGTTTTCTCTTAAACTTTTACAAGGGAATCTTAACAATGAAATATAAAACTGATACACTTCTGTTTTCTTAATGTCTTTTGGATTAGCTGTGGGGTTTTTTTGCTGTTCAGAGAGATGAGTTGCTGTGTTTCGTGTGTCCTACTGGAGGAAATCGGCTTCTTCAAACTGTGGGCTGAAGCTGAGCTGCACTGCTGATGTGTGTAACGCCTTCACATGTGACGCTTTTGAGGGATGTAAAGATTTCAAAGAGCACATTTACAAAAACATTACAATACCAAAAACTTGTCATCAAAGCAGTGAATGTGAACAGTTTGATAAATGCTGTTTTTTTTTCACACTTTAAATAAACTGTTTCCAAAAAAAAAAAAAATCTTTCCTGTGTTTTCATTTTAGGGATTGAACCTTTGACCTTCCACGTACAGGACAGGCTCTGGCAGCACGACTCTGTGTTTATGGGGATAAAATTAACGTATCTGGGAATGCAGACTGACTTCTCATGTGAGGAGTGAGCCTCATCCTAACATAGCTCCTGTCGTCTGCTCGCGTCGTGGCATCAAAGCACATTTATATCTTGAATCCAGAAATACCTCAGCGGTCGCCTCCCGGCTGACCTCCACGTATCGCTTTCCTTGTAGCGTCCTGCGTCGGAAGTCTTGAGTCCGTGAGATGGGTGACTTAACCGCGCTGACTCCTGTTTCAAGGAGTCCTCAGGTGTGGAGCTGGTTGCTAAGGACTCTCTGCTCCATAGCAACAGCAGGAGATTATTGTGACACCATCAACGGGCAGCAAGCTGACGCATCCGGCCTGCTGCTGCTGCTGCTGCTGCTGCAAGCTGAGATGGTGTCCGGAAAACAAGGTAAATTTATCATTTCCTCTCTACCACAGAGTCTTCTGTTTTCAATCCATTAACTTCTGTTGTTGCTGATTGTTGCAGGCGTTCAGCCCAGATTTGGTCCGTCAAACAGGTGAAGTTATTTTGTTCATGAATTCTAGTTTTTCTGATGCCTCTATTGTTTATATCACAGTAACTTAACATGTACTGTATGTGGTGCCAATGTAGTGTACACTAATGAATATTTTCTTCTTACAGAGGCAGATTAGGAATTCTATGACAAATATGATCAGAATTCACCAATTTGTGCCAAAGTCTCTCTTCAGTAGCTGGGCTAACAATTAGAACTGTTGAATTTGGTAGCTAAAAGTAATGAACAGATGAGCCAAAAGTAGGTAATAACCAGCTGAAATAGTTAACACAGTTTTCAACAAAAGAGATACAAAGGGAATAAAACAATAGGATGAAAGCAGAAAAGCTAAAAAGCAGTTTAATATATTCAAGAGCCTCACTTTTAGGTGAATGAAAGGCAGAAGCAAATTTTGGGGACAGAAGACCCTGAATCAGAAATGTATTTTGGCACGAAACCATTCAGTGCTTTTGAACCAACAGCACTTTTTAAGACCTGAGAACTTTGATGTGATCCACTGTTCTGGTCTGGACTGTTTGAGAGAGACATGTACAGACACTGAGGATAAACGCACTGACAAATCTTTTCAAGTCCCGCTGTGGCACAAAGCCTTTATTTTCTTGATATGAAGAGTTCATTTGCAAAAACAGTTAATTCCATTTTTTGTAGATTTTTGGAAAACTTATTTTTGTTGTTGTTTGCTTGAGATAATATCAGTCAAACTGAAGCTGAGTGGATTTGACTCAGTAGAAATGACAAAAACAGAGATAACTTAAGATTGATTGATATTGTCTCAGATGATGGAAAAGTGGGTTTTCTGGAGGTTTGTGAAGATGGAGTTGTCTGTTTTTGTACATGAACTCTTCATATATTCTTCAGGTGGTAGTAGGCTGACTCCGTAGTTACTTTGGCTGTTGAGATTCATTTCTGAGTGTCTGATTACAGCAAGGCTTCTGGTTTGGTTTGTGGGTTTTAACATTAATGACTGAAGCTGATTGCTGACTTTTATTTGTTCTTTCTTGGCTCCAAAAACAATATCTTCTGTTTTTGTATTTGTTCATTTGAAGAACATTCTGGCGCATCCAATCATTGATTCATTCAGTGCAGCCACTGAACGCTTGTGTGGGATTATAATGGTGACTTGTAAAGTTGTTTGTCTTCTGCACAGTTACAGTGACGTATTTTTTGTTTGTTTTACATAAATAAAAAAAGGAGTCAAAACTGTTAGCTAAAAGTAAAGACTAATGACTTGAAATAGTTAACTCAAAGTTGGAATTCATCAGCTGACACAGTTACTTAGAACGAATTATATAGCAGTTTGGTTAATTAATAGATAACCAATTGACTAAATAGCCAAACTGCTGAAAATCTCAACAGAAAAATGTAAAAATAAAAAAATAACTTGCCTAAATAGTCAGCTTAAAGTAAATAATTAACTTTAATAAAGGTATTGAACACAGTGTACAGGTTCCGCTGTTGATACAAATGGTGCATGAAGGCAAACTTGACTAAAGCAATGATAGAAAATAAGGTTGTTTTAAAAATATATAGTCACAGTATTCACATTTTAAAAAATCATATGTGCTAAAGCTGCAGAGTGAAATCCATTTCTAAGAATAGTACAGAAACATGACAGAGGTTGAAGGGATATACAGTAAATTTATATTCTTCTTCTTCTTCGTCTTCTTCGTCTTCTTCTTCTTCTTCTTCTTCTCCTTCTCCTTCTTCTATTAAAGAGCTACAATAAGGGATAAGTTTAAACCAAGAAACTGTTCATTTTCAGACGGCGCTGCAACATAAAAAACAAAACACTGTGAGGATAAAGAAGACTCACAGATGAACTCTGACAGTTGTGTCTTTGAATTTGATTAGTGGTCACACTGAGGTTTAGAGTTCACCCTGAAGAGCGAGACCATTTTTTGGAAGCCGGAAAATAGAAAAACCCTCAGCGGAGATGTGAAACCCACCGAGCCACTGCGTGTTCCCACTGGGCCCAGAGTCCCCGACATACCCTCGTATTTAATGCTGATTTCTGCTGTTCTCTGACTGTTATATTATTTGGCAGAATACTGGAGCTGGCGCAGCACAAAACCTCAAAAACTGTTTGGGCAACGACTCCTTGGTGAGTAGCTGTGTCCCACTAACTCCTCTGATACCACAAGAAGAATCACAATGGCCTCTATTCATTACACGGTCCTATACATTTTGAGAATGGCACGGCCGGCTCTGTTCCAGCTGCTACATCATATGAGAGTCCATGATGTTTGTTCATTGATCCAATGTAACATTGACTCCAAGAATCCAGGAGCCAATGTGGTCAGTGTTTCCTTCTTTGAGTACAGTTTCCCTAAACTTCATAATCCAAAGCAGATGTCTGGCACGCTCTGAATGTGTGTTTAAAAGGGAAAAACAATGGCGAAATGAACGGAGGTCGTAGCTGATTGAAGGTATCATTTTTTTTACATGGTAATTGCCCATTTGGAAAATATTTATTCTGCCTCTCCACTCACATTCTAATCATTGCAGCTTCTTATTGGAAACTTTCCATCTTTTTTTTTTTTTTCTTTCATTGATTAGTGAGAAGCTGAGCTGGGGCAACCAGGAGCCAATATGGCCCATCTCCGCTTCAGCGCTCGGAGCCGCTCCAAGTGCAAGAATCCAATACCTAGCCAGGCACAAAAGAGACTTCTCAGCAAGGGAGGACCACCGGAGGTAACTGTAGCCTGTCTGCACCTCCAACATTATTGATGACTCTATCAAAAAGGCATGAGAGGGAGGGCTGTTTGTGTTTGCGCTCTCAAGCCGAGTACACAAGCTTTTTATGCCGTGCTGCATCGACATGTTTGAGTGGAAACGTTTGCAAAGCTCTTTGGCGCAGAGTTGATTCAGGAAAGTGATGTTCAGGACTGATGCCAGTTGCGTCCCGATCGGAGGTGATCACCCCTGAGGGCTGTCAGGCTCAGTTAGTGGCTGAGAAGATGTGTTGGTATTTACAGCTGCAGAGGCTTTCCTTCTGATAAAAACCAATAATAATAATAATAATTCACCGTTATTAAAGATGACAGTTGGTTTGGTCTACAGCTGCATTTATAATTCCGCATTGGCCTGCAGGACTCTGTGGATGCAGACTGCTGAATACAAACATACAGACAGACTTTTTTGCTAAACTAAATTAGTATTTGTTATGTCTGATAATTATCCTGCTTATTGACATCTAATCACATCAGTCTGCAGTCAGGCAGTCTAGTCCATGTTGTTAATTTTTAATCTAATTAATCGACAAATGATTGCACAAAAACACTCAAGCCTGCCTCCACTATTGTTATTTAAAATCTAACTATTGTAATCCCTTAATATTGGCAGTGTGATAGTAGTGGAGTGAGGCAAACTTCTAATTCAGCTTAGGTGTGCAACTAATGATTATCTCCAATTACCAGTTATCTGTCTGATGATTTTTAGATTAGCACATGTAAAAAAAAAAAAAAAAA